CTGCCTGGTAGCAAAATGAAGAAAGACCTGCCTACCCAGTGGTGGAGTAGAGACTTTGCTAATAAACTCATTACAATGCCCTCAAGCTCTAATTACACAGAATTCCATAAATCAATTGCTCTCTTACTCTCAGTGTCCCAACTTCCTGGGTAAGAAACATTTCAAGAATAGAAATATTCTTATTTGCATCAAAAAGGATAAATATGCAAATAAAAAGTTTGTATTCTACTCTAATGAAAATTCAGTTCCTTAGAAGTAGAAAAAGTAATTTATAGTGAGATTTCCTGTTTGGGGAGAGGATTTTTATGGGAACACATCTATCAGACTTAAAGTTTCCATTACAAACTGGAAAGAAAATTAATGTTTTCTCCTTAGGAAACCAAAGCATTCATTGATATTTCCACTGAATTAGAATCTCTATGCTATTTTCCTTCATGCAGATACGTACTTTCCAACTTCCCATCGCCACCAATCTCCCGAGTACACTGTAACCACATCCATGACCTCATGTGTGCTGGCTGATCATTTGTAGATTCTCCCCTCCCTCCCACTCCCCAAAAAGAAGCCACAACTCCTGACTATATGTCTGCAGTCAGTTAAACTACTTTCAGGTGAAAGACCTTCATGTTATGTGTCTGATGTGACTATTTCTGTTTGTGGCCATGACACCCCTAGTGTGCCTATTCAAATGTGGTGACCTGAGTTTGATAAATTTGTTGAAATTGGCAACATGTAACTATTGCTAACAGAATGAGATGGTGCTTTTAAGCTGACTGGAGTGCTCAGTCTATCTTGATCCATTTGCAAAGAGGCTACATCTCTTCTCTGAGCTTGGATTTGATTAGTCAGTGTGACTACTCATCGGGTTAGAACATTCTGTTCCCTGCCTTCACTGGCTAGACAAAGGGGTTGTTTGCACTGCTTTCCTTTACCTCACTCTGCCTTTTTGTAATTACCATTCACAGGGTGCAAATTGGGGGAACAAGGTAGGAAGAGTAAGGCTACAGAGGTTGCATTATGACCCTTGCCCTTCTGATTGTTTCTTATCTCTGTCCTCTCTCATGAGTAGGCCCTAATGACACATTTGACATTTGCTTAAAATAATATACCAAAATGGAGGACAGTATGGAAACTGACCACATTTCATTTACCTTTGCATCCTTAGGACCTAGCACAGCACTTAGCTACATAGTTAGCAATCTAGTGAAAGTTTGCTGAGTGTTTAATAAACATACTGCTGCTACCTATACTGAGGACCTGAAGCATAATACAGATTTGTATATTTCATTTTATGTCAAATCCCTAGTTTCAAGAATTATCATCAGTGATAGGTATGCAGCTCTAAACAGCATTTCACTTCACACTTCTAATGGGCATGGAACATCAAGGGGTTTGTGGTTTATAATTCATATCTTTATGAACGCATTTGGCTACGCATTACACAGACTTTCCATTAGCTTAGCCACTTACAGAATAATTCCAAATAAGCTTTATCAGATTTTCAAAGAAGGGCAGCCCTGGAAGAATCTGTTTGCCTGAAATTGGCCACTCATGAGGTTGACGTGAAGACCGTTCTTGCAGGAACAACCTGGAAAGACAAATAGTGCAAGTGAATTCGTTATGTTTCACCTTCGCCTCCTCTGCTCTTCTGATAGTTCTGCTTTGCTTAACATTTTGAATATTTAATACTATGCTAGTTTTTTCCATTCAGTTTCATTTCTATTCTAGAGAAAATTTTATAGAAGTCATTCCACCAAATATTTAAAATAAATGGGGGTGATATTTGGGGCATTTGCATTGTTTGAGATTATTTTGAACCTCAAAAATTGTTTTTCTTTCTTTATGGACTTTTTTAATGTTTAAAGGTAGTGACAGCTACTAATAATGCATTCATTAGTCTTTCTCATCAAATTCCCATTTTAGGTAGGAAGAGAAAAATAAGGTTTCACTGGGGCAGAGTCATCAAAATTGACGTTATTTCATAATTGCCTTCATAGCATCATTTGAACGTTGACGCAATAAAATGCGGTCAAAAATAATATTCTCCAGGAATTCAAACACATAGGGACAGGACTGTCTCCATATATTATGAAAAACTAACATTGGTCTGTGATTTAACTTGCTAGTGTTCCTGTTAGTCTAAGCCCCCAGTAAAAAGAAGCTCCCCCTCAAAGCATAGCATTCTATTTAAATTCATGTTCGTTTGAGAATTTATCCAGGAACCATTTGGCCTGGAATGGCTTGGGGAAAAAGAATTGGTAGCGTTTTGGAATATCAGAACTGAGTAAGACACTAGAGATCATCTCATCTAAGCCTTAACTTTATTGGCAAAGGAAATAAAGGCCCGGAAGGAGAAAGCCATTTTCCATGTCATGCATGTTGATAATATTAAGACAAAACTATACCCCTTCCACTGTGCCAAGCAGATTAGCATTTTAGTATATAGATTGTTTTTCAGTTGCTATATGTTTAGAACAGAATCTCATCTTACCAAAAATCCTGTTGTATAAAAATACATACCTTCCATATATAAATCTGAATGATCCATCCCCAGTGCTTGGTTCTCCCTGTATCATGGATTTTATAGTTACCTCTCATAAACGTTGTGTGGGTGAGATGGTAAGCATAAAATATATAAAGCTTTCTAGAGCAAAGATTTCGCTGGTAGAAGCAATTTAAATGTTTCAGCTAATATTCACTGTAAAAAGAAAGATGAACAAAGTCTGGAATTTTATATCTATGTATTCTTTTCCTAAGGCTAATAGAGCATGTGTCCTTGGTATGCATGTTTGCATCGGTGATCATTTGGATGGGCTAGCTCTTTCTTCAAGAAACAAGTTAATATAGGTGTCTTCCCAAGATTAATTTATATGCAAAAACACCTCCCAACTTTCATAACAATGAGAAACAGTGTGTTTGGCAATATGCTAATTGATAATTGAGTTCTTGTAAGGAAATGAGGCTTGTCTATAGGTGAAAGGAGGAAAACAGTTGTAGTGGGTGGAGCTGGAGGTGAGTTGGGAGGGAATTTCAAGGGAGGTTATTGTGGTAGAGAGGATTTTTGTAATATGGGGCATGACCTAGTGCCCATCCTGCTCTTAATGAGTTCTGTTATCAGCACTTTCATCATCATTCTACTCAGAGCACCCCTACTCTCCCACCGCAATTCTCCACCCCGTCCCAGGCTGTTCTAGCTACAAACGCTGCTGAAATGTCAACAACAAATAAATATGCTGCTGTCACTTCTTAATCTAGAAACTGAGCATGTTTACCTGTTTAACATTTACTGTATTTCACAAAGTCTGGACATTTGTTGTCAACAAATGTATTTCAATAAAATATAAGGTGTAAAATGATTTTTAACAAATGAATGCCAAAAAGCTGGAAAAAAATTCTAGTATTCCATAGCTTCAAAATTTATCAGAGTTCTTAAAACTTATCAATTAATACACTTTTTATTGGAAGAATTTATTTTCTGAATTTATCTTTGGATTCAGATTATTTCCCATATTAATGATGCCAGATTACAGCTTTTTTGTCTGAGACAGTCTCAGTTACTATCTTAACAATACTGGCGAAAAAGCACAGAGTGTCTGCATGTTATTAAAATTTCAAAAGTGTTTTATTCTTTCAAGACTTTCCGAACCGGCCAATGAAAAAAGTCAAGCACCACTTATAAAAATGCTTTTATTATCCTAAAATACATTCACATACCATATATCCATCAGTATATTTTATTTGAGAAAAAATGTAAGCCACAAACCCAGAACTTGCCAGTAAGTTATATTTAGCATGTTTTCCAAATACTAACTTGAAGCAGAAAATTGATTTTCAACCAAAAATATTATTTCATGTGTATAATTTCTCTTAAACACATCATACTTTGAAAGTATATTCGCTTCTCCTGTTTGAAGGACAGAGCAGAGTACCCTTTTTCTTGACGACAGCTGGCAAAGTATATGTGTTTAATAAATAATTATTAATTTGATATGGCTTAGGGAACTTTCTTAAATTTGAAAAAAATGCTATCTGGATTCATCACAGATATGACCTTGATATTAGATTGGTTTAAAGAATACTAAGACCAAAGGCAAAGATCCAAAATGATAGCTCCACTATCACTGCAAAATTACGTAGCCCTTTTATATGTTAGTTATTTTATATGTTAGTTATTTCCACCTCTCTCATCTATAAACACGTGACATCGGACTAAATCTCCAAGGCCTCTTTCAGTTCCCAAACCCTATAGTTTAGACTACCCATAAAAAATATAAATGGAAGTCTGGGATGTTCAGTTTCTAAAGCAAGCTCTAAAGGCTATAGACTTCCTCGTTAACAAATACCAGAAGGTATACGGAACTTTGTGGGTGCTCAATAAATATTAAACAATCAATCAGTTTTATCTTTCATCTGCTGAATGGGGTAATGCTGACTTGTCTCACAGAATTCCATGTAAGAAATAATAAATGAGAACAAAGTACTTTTCAGATAATGAAGTAATTCGAATAAGCTGCTTTAATAGCTAGATGATGCAAGAATAAAGTATCTTTTTTATTATTACATCTGGGAATCCAGCAGTCTTTTCATCTGTTTAAGAAGCAACAGTCTTTATCCTTGCTTATCACCAAAAAGTCAGCATGAGTAATTTCTGTACAAATGGAATTTTTCATGGGATTTTAGCATTTATCACTTTTAACAAAATGCAGCTTTTATCTTTACCTTATATCAAAATGAAATCATATCTTGATTTAAACAGTTTAATGAGGCATTCCATCAGCATTATACTACTCTGTGCAAAGAAAATGCTTTTTGAAATGACTGATAAGCTGCACAAATGAGAAAACTGTAAATTTAATAATCCTCCTACTCAAAAAATAATACAATTCAGGAATTGTTACTAAGGAAAATGATGTATTGCATTCTAATTGCCTACAGTCTCCCACAGTGTGTTCTTTTTTATGTTTATGTTCAATAAATAATCTGTGTTCTATTTTTTACAGTGTTTCAACAAAAGACTGCCAGAAGACAATCAAATGATGACAAGTTCCATGGCCCTAAGAAACAAGGTACTAACATGAACTTCAGTTTATTTAATAATCTCTAAGTAAGAGTTAAAGAAATCTTATGAATACTGAATAAAGTCTCCTGCTATAGAAGTAAATAATTGTGTACTTGGCTAATTTTACTGTTAAGTCAGTCAGTGTCTTACCCAAATATTATTTTTCCATAGTAAGATTAATGCAAGAAAATTATTTTAATTAACAAAGCCAAATTATTTTAATTAACAAAGGCAAGAATTTAACAAAGGCCTTACTAGGATATTTGTGGTGATGTTGATAATGTTGTTATCAGAGCTCCAGGAGGGTCAAGTAAGACAAATTCTCTAACATGCCTCAGAGACCTTTAGAGAGAAGCCTCTGGAACCTAACTTGGTAGGAGAGGCAGATTATTGATGCCCCTGTGAAGGGAACCAGCATGGGTTTTCTGTGCTCTGCATTGAACTCCAGTCAAAGATTGTCTCACTATTCTCTTGCCTTAGGTAATGGACCCATCATTTATTGGAACAATTATTTGTCATGCAGAAAAGAGCTGAACACTGTAGCTCAGAGGCATCTCACACAGGAGTAATATTTTTCTCTTGCTCCATAAGGAGGCAGCTGCCTCCAGTCTTTCTTGACACACTTGGTTCCTATTGAAAAGAGGTACTCTGGCAGGTTATTTATTATGATGTTTTTCTGATAATAAATCTTTGGTTAAAGTTCAAAAATGAAAACCATAAAAGGTGGCAGAGGTGGAGGTAACACTGGATGACTCTGATAATCAATGAGGACATACAGATGCTTTTAACCTCAACCCACTTTTGAAATAACATCACTCCAAAATAATATTACCTTGAAATTGTTACTCATAAATCATTGAGAGAGACATTAAAATAAAACTGGGAAGTTATTTCACCAGCAGCCACTTCCATAGCCTCTTTGTGTGCCATTGTGAAATTAGCAAAGTGCTAATTGCACCAACTTCTGACACCCACTGACCTATTAAATACAGAACCTCATGGACTTGATCCTGGGATGCTATGGATCATCCTCCAAACAAAGGTGTGTCCTCAAATGAATGATCATCATCACCCATCACTTCAAGTGGCATTTCTCACGGCAGTGAGGTTGTACTTAGATCATTCTTCCAACTAAGTATGTGGTGTCTGAATACAGCACATGATGGACCTGAACTTCCAGTCTCCTACAAATCACTTGGATAGACTACTTATAAATTTGTATGCAAAAAACTCTCCTTATTGGACAGTTTTTCATTTCTAGTGATTTCTTAGTTTGAAGGGAAAGATATATCTTTTTAAGGCTACTATTAGCCTCCCACTGTGCCTTTAGCTCTCTCAAGAAATAAATGCAGAACTCCGTGTGAGATTATTATACAATTAGGATCAAACAGTTATTGAAGAATTAAAGTAGAGAAGATTATTCCTATCTGGACTCTTCCACATACCTCACAGAGCTTGGAAAAGAATAAAAGAGAGGGGACGCTTTGAGCTCTTTGGGAGAAAGTTTCCCTAAAGCATTTTTAACAAATTATTCAATTATTATATTTTAATTAAATTACGTTAGAATTAGGAGGATGACGTGAAGAAGGCCACAGGAGATGAAACAAGGGGACAAGCAGCAAGTGTAATGAAGGGATCCTCAGAATGCCTGATCTGTCATCCTGTGGTTGTCCCACAGAGAGCAATATAAGAAAAGGTTGCTAATGTTTTTGAAGCCTAGAAGAAACCTATTAATATTCTACCATATGTATAGAAAATATAGTCCCTTCTGAACTCAGAATAAAAGGGGAGGAGAGAATGGTGAAAGGAAACAAGAACCTAAATTATAAAATATTTTACTGGATTAACATCTGTCCTTATCTTGTTACTTAATTTGCTTCTTCAAGATCAATGATGACCAGATATTTTTAATTCTTGGGGGTTAGGATACTGAAAATTTTAATCAAATTTTTGTGTGAATTTTTCACTCTCTAGATATTTCAATCCAATTACTGATGATATTTTTGATTAGTCACCTTAGAGCAGCTCCCCTAGATTCCTTTAACTGTGGACATTAGTAATTCAGCAGAATGGAAAAGATTATTGTTCTGTTTTCAAGGAGTAGAGGAACATTAAATCCTATGAAATGTTAGGGGAAAAAAAAAACCTTCCCGATAACTGCAGTCTGCAGGGAAATCAGAACCTAGCATGAGAAGAACATAATTAAGAATAATGGGGGGGCTTCCCTGGTGGCGCAGTGGTTGAGAGTCTGCCTGCCGATGCAGGGGACACGAGTTCATGCCCCGGTCCAGGAAGATCCCACATGCCGTGGAGTGGCTCGCCCCGTGAGCCATGGCCGCTGAGCCTGCGCGTCTGGAGCCTGTGCTGTGCTCCGCAACGGGAGAGGCCACAACAGTGAGAGGCCTGCGTACCGCAAAAAAAAAAAAAAGAAAGAATAATGGGGAAGGTTTTGAAATTAAAGAATTAAGTACCTAATGGACTTCCTCTGTCCAGCCATTTTTCTCTAAATCTTTTCAGATATTTATGACCATCCAGACCATGGGACATACTAGACAATCAAAACTACTTATTCCTAAATTAATGAATACTCTTCAAATACCCTGGGATTTCATGGTGTAATAGGAAAAACAGTGCATGCTTCACCAATGATAATCTCTTTATTTGATAGAAAACAAAAAGATCCTTTTGTGAAGTGTTTGTCAGAGTCAAGATTTTTTAAAGGGACTGGACAGGTTCTCTAAAGGTTAAAGAAATTATTCAATTATTTCACTATATGCTGGAAGGGAAAGGGATTATGAGAGTCAACTATTTTCCCACTGAAAGTATAGGCATTTCAGATGCCCTATGTTGAAGACTGCCAAGGGATTGCTAGGAAGCTACGTTATTGCTAAGTCAAGGAATTTTCCTGAGGAACAGAAAAAAATTAATTGGCGCCATTTCCATGGAAACTCAACAGATTTCTTCAACTCAATTTTCACATCCTGGAAAAAATATAAGAAAAATGCTGAGGACTTTGGATCACAGATAAAAGTTTCCATCAAAATAAATTTTTAAAATCAGTTTTTCCAAGTTGGTTTTAAAATTAGAAAAATTTTAAATCAGTGCCAGAGTGTTGTCCCCAGAATGTGCTGCTACCACACCTCCACCCACTTCCCAAAATTGAGCCTCACAGAGCAGTCAAGGGTTTGTTCTTCAACGTGGCAAACCAGAGAACTGAATTTGTCAGTGGGTTTGGAATCAATTAGAGTTTTGATGCCTGAGTCCTCTTAACTAAGCTCATGGAGGACTGATTTATAACCCCCAATCCCAATGGATTAAATCTGTTTTATGGGAAGATTTCTTCCCAGTGACGAGAATGCTTGTATTCATTAGACCCTTGCCAAATATTAATAATAAAGTTTTTATAAAATATAATTAGTAATTAGAAGACTACTAGGTGAACATGGTCAAGTCAAAGGGTGCTGGAGGAATGTAAGGGCTTTGAGGACATGGAAATATCTGGTTAATTTTCCGTGCCTCACAAAATCATATAATAGTCTAGGGTCAAGATTGCTCATGTCTCCCAGACCTGTTTTTCTCTGTTATATCTTTTTCTTAGGCTATGCCATGGGGCCTTTTCTATCTTCACCGGAATCATCCCCATTTTATCAACATAGTGGTACCTCAGAGGTTAAGAATGGCAATTGATGATATTTAGCGTTCTTAGCATTCTTAACTGCCTCCGTGTGATCATGATTCATGGCCACAGATATTCCCAGCCATACAGTGAAATAATAATCATCTCATCAAGCATGTGTTGTTGCTGTCATGCTTGGAAGGCAAACCATTTTTTTGAGGGGTGGGGTTAGGTGGGAGGTAGGAGGAGCACGTCCACCCTAACCAGCTGCCTATACCAGTGACTCTCAACCCCAGATGAGCATAAGAGTTATTTGTGGAGCTTCTAGAATTTAGTTGCCTAAGTCTACCTTAGACATGGACTACAAGTAGAACACAAGAGAACAGTAATATGCTATAATAATAATAATAATAATCTCAAACCAACACACAAAAAACAAAATCTAACCAAAAGAAACTGTTTGAAAGGCCATATTGTGGTCAGATTTGGCCTCTAAATATGTTACATTTCAAAAATAATGTGCACAATATAATTTCAGTTTTTTGCCATGTTTAAACCATGCTAAATCCATGTCTCATGTAACAGTTCAAATCTCCAACCACTCCCTACTGTATTATTGTATCATTTGCTACAAATTACTTTTGATATTTTCATTTGTTATCATGCTTTCCATATCGTCGTCTTATATTTGAGACACATTTCTTTAAACTCATAATTCTATCAGAACTGAGAAAATAAAAGACGTATCAAGAGAATCATGCTATGAATAAAAACACAAAAGAGAAAATAATTATTTTTGATAATGAAGACTATTCAGATGTGTTTAATAAGCAGGCACTGAATCTTATCTGCTCAGTAATTCCGTCTTTCTGGCCCCTGTAGGCTTACAAGTTTGTAATCTCTGATATAGTCTCTGGCCACTAATTCCTCGATGCAGACTGCAAAATCGTTATTGGCTGGTCTTTTCAGGGGGTGTGCATGCTCTTGGGAAAGAAAGATATAGTCAGGGAACATATCTTGTATGAGCTCTGTAAGTTCCCAGTGCTGCAGCAGTGTGATGAATGTTAAATAACAGAATTTTCTATAAGTAGGAGACCTGGAGAAATGCAGATGGTATTACCCTTATGTGGGCAAAAGAGAATGCTGGTCCCTGAGGTATTTTCATCTGGCTACTTTTGCCAGTAATTGATATATTAAAAAGAAAAGAGGGGAAATTATCAAAATGTAGTTATTTGTATTCCATAAAAGAATAATGGCTTCAATTCTCCTTTTCAGTATAACTGACATTTCCATTTGTCATGTTCATAGGAGTTTTTTGTTTGTTTGGTTTCTGTTTTTGTTAAGGTCATACCTGGAAAAACTTGTGTAATAGCTGAGCTCTTGTCTAAAAT